TGGCCCCGGATAACGGCCTTGAGACGTGGGGCCTGACGGGGCGCGTCCAGTCAGCTGCGGTGCGGGGACAGCAGGGCCCACGTCCTCGCTCGCTCGCGCTCTGCCTCTGTCCCCATGTTGAGACATGTCACCTTTAGACTTACCAGTCACTAGAGCCAGGAGCCAAGTAAACCTCTACTCCTGAAAGCTGGCCCAGCCTCACGCGTCTGCCAGCACCGCAGCCACAGGCTGAGCGCCCTCGGGGGAACAGCCCAGAGGGCGCACCGCCTGCCCAAAGCCAGAGCGGTCTTGATGGGAGGGCGGTGGGTCTGACCACATGTGCACTCAGGCACGCCTGCCACTAGGGGAGGAGCTATTTCAGGGGGAACCAAAAGCCTGGGGAACTCAGAGGTGAGGCTGGGCAGGACAGGTCCAGTCCCCAAGACACTTCCTCCAGGAAGCCTTCACCAGAGACAGCTGAACCAGGAACTTTCCAGGGAGTGGAGACGGCCCAGAGGCGAACGAACTTGTTGGTTTAAGTCTACGTTTCCTAAGTATGCGTTTCAAAGCTCAGGAAGTACGCGGCTTAGGACAGGGCGAGGGGGCGGAGGCAGGAACCAGGCTGCTCGGCTACCAGAGGGACCCTGGGCGAGGGGGCCTCCTGGGCGGCACGGCGCCCCCTGGCCAGGTCCCGTCAGTGGAAACCCGTCTCTGCACGATGGGTCAGCAGAAGCCTGCTTAACTCGGAGTGAAGATGACGGCCGACGAGCCGCCGCCCATCGCTGGCCGGGCAAGAGTGCAGAGACACCCCCGGGCAGCAGAGAGGGGCAGGGGTTGGTGCTGCCTGCCAGCCTGTGGTCGCCACACCGCTCCTTACACGGGACAGGGACAGTCCATGTCTGAGACACGCGGAGACGCTCGGTGAGCCTGAGGCAGGGCAGGGTCAGAGGTAGAGTTCCCAGGGGGACCTCACGGCGGGGCCCCTGCTATGTCCACAGCTGTCCTCTGAAGCTGAAACCGCCTGAGTCACATTTCTGCTCACACAGGCGGGCGGGTCGGGCCCATTCCACTGTAAGCCTGCCTACCTGGCCCAGCGGGGGTTAATGCCAGGGCTGGGGTAGCGGCTCACCCGTGCTGCTCCCGGAGGTCGGCAGGGTCGTGCGGAGGCGGTCAAAGTCCGAGAACTCATCCGGCTCTGGGTCGAAGCCCCCGACTGCTGTGGACAGGACATGTGGGTCGGGCCCCGCGGGGC